TTTTTTTTTTTTTTTTTTTTTTTTTTTGTGGCTGGCTGGTTGGAAAAAATCTTTGGAAGCCTAATTGACCCTTTTTTTTGTCAGCATATCGAGATGAAACTTGGCACAAAGATGCGTTGCCGATGACAACAGATGTTATCAAATTTTCAGTCCAAAAACAAATAAACAAAAAAAAATATAAGTTTTTCCGTAGCACATAGATTCGTTGCGCGAGAAGCCTCGGCCAGCGGACCGAACAAGAAACGACCGAGGACGAGAAACGTAAGACTCATCTAAAGGGTCGTGGAGAAGTTGACTAAACCCAAAACTTGCGCACTACCAATGAGATTACAGTCGGTAAAAGAATTTAGGTATTGTTGCTGTGCGCTGCCACACGCTGCCACACGCTGCCACACATTCTAAATTGAAGTACACAAATAAAAGAACAGAGAAAATATAAACGGAGGGCTACAAGTTAGAGAGTACTTGTTTGATTCCAAATGGCGATATGGTACAGAAAGTCTGCAATAATTTATTTTTTTATAGCGCTGTGATTGCATTTCTAGATTGACATATGACATCAAAATGTCATTTTCTGACATGGCGACTTGCCCAAAGTCATCTGACAAGTACTCTATTTTAGTGTCAGTCACTTTCTGCAGTCCAATGACCTACCAGTGAGATCACGTGACACGGTTTAACCTCGTTACATAAAAAAGGGAAACAGGCGCTAGGAAAGAGACATGCAAAAAAGTTAAAACTTTCCCGTAAACTTCAGTTAAGATTCCTCTCATGCCTGTCAATGACAGTGCGAAGCCGATGTGAAACAGTGCACCACTGTTTACAGTGCACCACTGTTTAATAGGGGCCCAACGCTGAACTTGACTGTCAGTGGGCTGTTTATAATGCCTGATTACATTTCTCAGCACTCAGGATATTAAACCCAAATAAGTTGGTATCGATTTCACATATTGTCACCGTTTTTCGTGTTTTTGTTCAGGGGCGTATCAAGGAATGTACGGAGGGGGTTGCGCGCCCCCAGCAGTCCCTTTTCTGCTCTTTACATGTAGCGGCATCACTTTCAGCTAAATGCAAAGTTTTTTCTTGAAAAGGGGCGGCAAAAAATCTTGGACCACCCAGAGTGGTACTAATCTTGGCTACGCCACTGGTCGCAACCCATTGTCGAACTAATGTTTCCACCCGATCGGTTAATCCGTGATGTTCTTTCGCACGTTGTAATACGTCGTACTAGCACTGACTCATCTCAAGTCTTCTTCATAATAAATACGACTTTAATATATCATGGAAATTCACAGACTGTTCATCCCATATACACATGTATAGCGCAGCTCGCTGTCAGAGGAGAAGTAAAACACAATCTCCTTTCACCAAGTTCCTTTCTAGTCTGCCACAGACTAAGACGTACGTCACAAAACAGACTAGATGATACGTCATACTCAGCATAAAAATACGTCACTGAGTCAGGCGCGGGAAGAGCGTTCACTAAACTAATAAATCTCACAAACACACACCGCGCGTCATCAAAGTTAATAATCAGTCGTAAAATTCTTAGTGAACTCCCATACTCGACACCCATTTTATAGTAGCAAAGGGCCTCGCAACCCCCCCCCCCTCCCCCTTTTACACATACATGTGTCTATATGTATATATATAAATAAAATCTTTTAAGTAAAAAAATGGATAAATGGCATATACCTTTTCAACATGGTATAATTCTAAATTATTTTAACTTACGTCATATTTCATGTGACGATTGAACATGAAACTCTTTAAATGAGTTTCAAACTTCAAGATTGTTTCGTTAATGCGAACTCCCGTGTCAGTTTTTAAAAAAAATATTTTTTTTTATTTTCGCCTTTATAAATGAAGTACAGTTGAAAGTAATCGATTTCTTTCAACAGAAACGTGTCGCAGTGTATCGGGATATCGTGATATTATGAGTATCGTGATATTATGAGTATCGTGATATTATTAGTATCGTGATATTATTAGTATCGTGATATTATTAGTTCGTGATATTATGAGTATCGTGATATTTTGAGTATTCTGATATTATGAGTTAAAGTTTCATACATCAATCATTAAGAAAACTTGTTCAAAATTCCGTTTAGAATAAAATAGCAGCTGGTGACAACGCAAGAAAAAATTCTTTTTTTCTTTTTTTACATCCCATTTGGGGTCACAACCCACGTTTTGAGAACCAGTCTATTTGACAAACAATTTTTTGTAGACACCCCTTGACACCTACCTTGATGCCCCCCCCCCCCACCCCCCATGGTTGAAGAATGTCAATGCGAATGGTCGCAACGAGTTGACCCAGTCATGTGTTTTGAAAAGGGTGACTTGAGATATTAAAAAAAATCCAGCATTTAAAAAAAAAATAAAAAAATCCTTGGGCAGCTGTAAGAATGACATTAAAATACTTAGCGCTCTTTAAAACCTTTCATACGAAAGTAGATTTAGAACGCGAAACAGGGATTTGAACCCACGTAAAATGTGTTTGCTCTGGAGAAGAAATGTGAGAGTGTTTGTTAATGACCACGGCAAGTTGGGTCCTTTTCAAAATGCCTTTATCTCTTGCTCTTTCTGGGGCTGTGTCTTACATTAAAAATCTGAGGACCACTTAAGGGTTTTTCCCCGGTGATGACATGAAGAATGTTACGTCATTTAAGGAGACAAACAGCAGCCGATAATCAGGGTGAACTACTGAGGAACACTGTACCTGGGATAGTTTAGTGTATAGATTTTGTTGTGGTTAAAGGGAAGAACACATTGATTTGTCTAACAATTCGATTAAAATAATTCTTTAAAAAAATAATCGATTTTGTCAGTTAAAATACAATTTGATGGTGCTTAAAACGAAAAGAATTGAGTGAGTAGGTAGATTTGAGTGTATCTCTAGTTGTCTTAGTCACCGAACGATAGTGATGTAGTGATGGTAGGCTAGTTTGAGTGTATCTCTAGCTGTCTTAGTCACCGAACGCTAGTGATGTAATGATGGTAGGCTAGTTTGAGTGTATCTCTAGCTGTCTTAGTCACCGAACGCTAGTGATGTAATGGTGGCAGGCTGGTTTGATTGTATCTCTAGCTGTCTTAGTCACCGAACGATAGTGATGTAATGATGGTAGGCTAGTTTGAGTGTATCTTTAGCTGTCTTAGTCACCGAACGCTAGTGATGTAATGATGGTAGGCTAGTTTGAGTGTATCTCTAGCTGTCTTAGTCACCGAACGATAGTGATGTAATGATGGTAGGCTAGTTTGAGTGTATCTCTAGTTGTCTTAGTCACCGAACGATAGTGATGTAGTGATGGTAGGCTAGTTTGAGTGTATCTCTAGCTGTCTTAGTCACCGAACGCTAGTGATGTAATGATGGTAGGCTAGTTTGAGTGTATCTCTAGCTGTCTTAGTCACCGAACGCTAGTGATGTAATGATGGTAGGCTAGTTTGAGTGTATCTCTAGCTGTCTTAGTCACCGAACGATAGTGATGTAATGATGGTAGGCTAGTTTGAGTGTATCTCTAGCTGTCTTAGTCACCGAACGCTAGTGATGTAATGATGGTAGGCTAGTTTGAGTGTATCTCTAGCTATCTTAGTCACCGAACGATAGTGATGTAATGATGGTAGGCTAGTTTGAGTGTATCTCTAGCTGTCTTAGTCACCGAACGCTAGTGATGTAATGATGGTAGGCTAGTTTGAGTGTATCTCTAGCTGTCTTAGTCACCGAACGATAGTGATGTAGTGATGGTAGGCTAGTTTGAGTGTATCTCTAGTTGTCTTAGTCACCGAACGATAGTGATGTAGTGATGGTAGGCTAGTTTGAGTGTATCTCTAGCTGTCTTAGTCACCGAACGCTAGTGATGTAATGATGGTAGGCTAGTTTGAGTGTATCTCTAGCTGTCTTAGTCACCGAACGCTAGTGATGTAATGATGGTAGGCTAGTTTGAGTGTATCTCTAGCTGTCTTAGTCACCGAACGCTAGTGATGTAATGATGGTAGGCTAGTTTGAGTGTATCTCTAGCTGTCTTAGTCACCGAACGATAGTGATGTAATGATGGTAGGCTAGTTTGAGTGTATCTCTAGCTGTCTTAGTCACCGAACGCTAGTGATGTAATAATGGTAGGCTAGTTTGAGTGTATCTCTAGCTGTCTTAGTCACCGAACGCTAGTGATGTAATGATGGTAGGCTAGTTTGAGTGTATCTCTAGCTGTCTTAGTCACCGAACTCTAGTGATGTAATGATGGTAGGCTAGTTTGAGTGTATCTCTAGCTGTCTTAGTCACCGAACGATAGTGATGTAGTGATGGTAGGCTAGTTTGAGTGTATCTCTAGCTGTCTTAGTCACCGAACGCTAGTGATGTAATGATGGTAGGCTAGTTTGAGTGTATCTCTGGCTGTCTTAGTCACCGAACGCTAGTGATGTAATGATGGTAGGCTAGTTTGAGTGTATCTCTAGCTGTCTTAGTCACCGAACGCTAGTGATGTAATGATGGTAGGCTAGTTTGAGTGTATCTCTAGTTGTCTTTGTCACCGAACGATAGTGATGTAATGGTGGCAGGCTGGTTTGATTGTATCTCTAGTTGTCTTAGTCACCAAACGTTAGTGATGTAATGATGGCAGACTGGTTTGATTGTATCTCTAGTTGTCTTAGTCACCGAACGCTAGTGATGTAGTGATGGAAGGCTAGTTCGAGTGTATGTCTAGTTGTCTTAGTCACCGAACGCCAGTAAGCTAGAATGAACAAAGCAGCTTAGACTTCATTGGGGCTTTTTTAACTATAGACATTAAACAGATACTTGGTTTACCAGTCAATAAAATAGGTATGCGTCTTGTACCGTAGGCGGTACGGCATTGTACTCGAAGATTGTTGTCGACGCACATGGTGATAAATTGTACAGTCCATTGATGTTTTTTTTCCATTTTTTTGGGGACCCTAGAATATTGTGACATTGGATTTCAATGAAGCTTTTATCTGTTGGCTAGGGGTTTAAAATCTACTCTGCAACATAAAGCATAGCCATCTGTAGAAAACAGCAATAGCTTTGTAACTAGAAAATCTTCGTGATCTTGATGAAAACAGTGTTTAACGCAAAATTAAAGAAGATCACCGTTGCGGCCTCCCAATATTGCGGCCTTCAAATATTGCGGCCTTCTCCTGATGTCTAGCGGCTACAACCTCCGATGGTAACTACTCGATGTCTAGCCTTACGTCAGACCTGTATGGTTAATTCTCGTCTCTGTCCCTCTTGGTCAAGCAACTCAAACACCGACTAGTCCATTGCAAACCAGGTATTTATTTACATGTACTGAAACATCCACTTGTTACAAAGCACAGTTGCTACACAGTTCATCCAGCAGAAGAATACAACCCTTAGGCAGCAGAGCCGTGCAGCGAATCTAACAAAAATACCATATCTCTCGACTCGACTCCTCTCGACCCATGTCACAACTCCAACTAACGAGCATTTATCCCTATCCTGTCTCTTAACTCTTGGCTCAGCTCACAACTAACTCACCGTCACACGGATTATGTCCACCCATCCAATGGTCATTCAGACAATACAATACCACGCATGAAACAAATCACGGGCCTAAACAGCGTTCATAGTAACAACAGTGGTTCTCAAACAAAACTGTCATCACCCATGAACAACAAACAACATTTCATAACCAAAACTTAACGCATCTAAATCTAGTTCACAACAATCTCCATTGATGAAATCCAAATCATGACCAAAACAAATGTGAGCAACGTGTATTTTTTCAAAAATAATTTATATAAAATGATGTAGGTATTAAGTATTGTTCTTAAGATGTTGACAGCAATGTCATTGGAGGTTAACAGCATTATGGTTAACAGTTAAGTTCTACCCAACAACAGTTGATCTGGTACGTACGTGCGCGTCATGCAGGTAACCCGTCTCATTGACGAACACTTTCCAGACTCTCATGTTGGCGCCATCACTTCCGGTGAAGTCCATAGAACCGGTGACGAACAGCTGGAGACGGTTGGACACGAACCACAACCAGCCCTGGTTGTCAAACGCCAAGGTATCAGGCCACTGCATGGTTGCACCGTTGCGGACCACTTCCGTCTGCGTCGCCATCTTTACGGCGGAAGTGGCGACCCCTTGCATCAGCTGATCCATCTCGACGTCCCAGTAGTACAACGCGTTCATCCCCATGGCTCCGAAGTAAAGGCGCTTGGTACCAAACGCGATTCCGTCACTTTGTGAGACTTTCCTTCCAACCGACCTTGGCCTTGCAGGGCTGGCCTCACCACCAGGGGTCAGCGCCGAGGTCGGAATCTGGTAAAGATTGTAGCCGCCAAGTGGACAGAAGTACAGATACTGAAAATCTGCAGATAAGGCAATGCCGTCAATGGCGCTTTTAAATGTATAATCTTTCCCGTGGATATGTATATTAGTTCCGTTGCCATCTTCTGGCTTCATGGAGAGGTCCTCAAGATTGCTGGCAGAGCGGGTCTCGAAATCATAAATGTGGAGACGTCCTTCTCTGACGTCACTGATGTACGCGTACCTGACTCGCCCGTCGACGTAATGAAGGGCGAGGTCGTTGAGAAAGTTGGTATCTTTGCCGACCACTGTTTCCGGAAACTCGTACCTGTCAACTTCCTGTCTGGTATTCAGGTCAAACACGACGAGTTTCGGTGGGCACAGATTAAGTGGGTTCAACCCAAACCCGATCCCAACTCGACCCGTGTCGATGGCGTAGAGCAGTCCAGTGTTGGGGTCAATTTCCATACTCTGAACATACTGGAGAGCTCGGCAGTCGCCTTGTTTTTGGGTGGCCCAGTCGGGGAAGGGTTGAAGTTTCGGCTGACCTTGAACAGTAACGACCTTGGCCAAAGTTATTGGAACACCTGATGTCCAGCCCCATCTTGGGGCGGTCAGATAAACGTCATTCTTGTAGACCTGTTGAAAGATATACAGATTATTGCCCTTTATTTAAAAAAAAGAATATATTTCAGAAAATAGTGAGGAAGGCATCAATGAGAAAATTGAAGATGGCAAAAACGAAGTTATTAAGGAGGGCATCAACGAAGGCATTGTTGAGGGCATCAATGAATGCATTGACGAGGGCATCAACGAAGGCATTGAGGAGTGCCTCAATGAGGAAAGAGGAGGATATTGAAAAAGGCATAATTGAAAGTCTTGTGGAGAGGATCAATGCAGGCGGGCATTAATTGTGATATTAAAGAAAGCGTCAATGAGAGCTTTAAAGAGGGCATCACTGTAGGTATTGTAGAGAGCATCAATGAGGGCCTTGAGGAGGGCATCAACAATGTTATTTTGGACTTTATTAATGAAGGCATCTATGGGGCAATAAGGGTTATTAAGGAGGATGTGGAGGGGCAATTTCGGGGCAAGTCTAAGAACATATGGAGGGGAACATTTGGAGGTGACATGTGGAGGGGAACACATGGAGGGGACATGTGGAGGTGAACATATGGTAGAAACAATTACATAGTATGTTTATGCTCAGAGCAAGATAGATTGAAATATGGCACTAAAATTGGCCTATGACCAATCACAAGTGGCTCCAGTATGACTCTGCTATCTACTAGACCAGATGTGACCCCATAATCTGTTGCCTCCTTACCTTTATTCCCGCGATGAGGTTCCTCTCTGGCACATAGCTACCATTTCTTAACGCCTCCTCCTTGTCAGCGTCCGACGGCCAGTCCAGATCAAGTGTGGTCCACTCATACACGACCTTGGACTGACCAAACGTTTCCGACGGCACACAAGGGCAGATAATCGAAAGGCCAATGAGTCGGAGGTAAGCTGCTACAAGTCTTGCGTGATGCATGACGCGAAACCGATCTGAAACACGAAAAATTGAAAAAAACATACATGATCGTTGTTGAAATAGATGATGGAAGCGATTAAATGAACATTCTGTTAAACGGGTCAAAAAACGAATCTGCAACCATTTTTTCGTGAGGACTAACTGTGAAAAGTAACTGTTAAACAAAGCAAATACGTATGGAAGCTGGATACAAGATTAGAAGAAAAAAAAAAGCCCTATATATTTCTTCAGAAAGCCGCGGGTTGCTGACTACTGGGTGAGATTTACTTAAATAAATTTTGTCTATTTTAAAAATAGAAGTAAAAAAATATAAAGTACTAGCGGATTTCAGAAACAAGCAAACACACACACATGGTTTTACACTTCGAATTTTACACACAGTTAAATAAATAAATAAACAGACTCAATGTTACATACATGCACATACAATAACAAGACACATATCGAAAATATTTTTAAAAAGTAACACACGATTAAACACACACAAATACAGAGCTACACGCTCTGGAACTTACACGCATAATTTAAGAAAAAAATAATTCTATTAATACATGTGTCTCTTTGTAAGAGTTTGGTTTAGAGAGTGTGTCCAATGTTTAAAAAAAAAAAAAAATTGCATTAAAGCAAAATCAATGTGGCTTTTGGGTAACTTTAGATAAGTGTAAGACAAATGACTATCGAAAATGGGATTATCTGTTATACAATTGGTAAACAACTTTACCCCAAAATTCCCGCAATGACACGGCACATCTAATGCGACAGCACCCGCGCTTTTTTGTGTGGGCCACATTGCGAGCCACAAACCATTGTCATCGGGGGCAGCTTACACGGTTAAAATAGGATAATTCTCTGTTCTCTGTACATAAACTAGAACTAAGTTCCTACCACTATCATTGTTTAATTTTAACCAATCGTTTATTTAACACTATCTGGCAAACTATAAATAGACCACTCCACGCAGGCGTCGACGGCCTATCTCTAAGTGGAGCAATGACAATGCGAGTTTTGGCAAAAGGTTGGCTCTAGGGCTACTTAGGTTTTTTCCCCAGGGCTTCTGAGATAAACTAACCCAGACAGACTTAAGTGGTCAGTCTATTTGGTTTAAACTAGCGTTCGTAACACGAAGAGATCAAACATTGTGAGTACTTGGCTGAGTGGTTATGAAGAAAAAACCAACAACAAAATAAATAATTATTCAATTTAGTTGCAAGCATTTAATTCCTTTGGTGCCTTTTAAGTAAACGGTTCTATAACCGTGGGTCGTGACCACTTTGTGGGGTCGAACGACACTTACTCGGGGGTCGCATAAGACAATAGGACAAGACATAGTTATGAAGTAGCTACGAAAAGTTCGTTCGGGGGTCGCCACACCATGATGAGCTGCTGTATGACAGGGTCGCTTCGGGGGTCGCCACACCATGAAGAGCTGCTGTATTACAGGGTCGCTTCGGGGGTCGCCACACCATGAGGAGCTGCTGTAGTACAGGGTCGCTTCGGGGGTCGCCACACCATGAGGAGCTGCTGTAGTACAGGGTCGCTTCGGGGGTCGCCACACCATGAGGA